ATATATTATAGTTTCTGAGAAAAACAGTAAAATGTGAAACATTAAATTTATATTTTGTATCCATTCTGATCTATTATAGTTTCCAAGAAAACAGTTAAATGTGAAACGACTGTTTTTCGAGCGTTAATTTTCATTACTTCATTTTTGAATGCGAATTACAGCCAAATGGACGAAACCACAGCAATAATTATATACACATGGTATTTCCTAAATGTCCAAGTTTCATATGCATCTTTTGGATCCAAGAATGGATCCAAAAGATGCATATGAAACTTGGACATTTGGGAAATACCATGTGTATATAATTATTGCTGTGGTTTGATCTATTTGGCTGTAATTCGCATTCAAAAATGAAGTAATGAGAAATGAACAAAACATTTTCGAAACGATAAATTATGTGGTAACATTCGATATTTTTCATGTTTTTTGACTGTTTGTTTTTTAAGATCAGATCTTCAAAATATTTGTAAATTTAAAATGGTAAATACATTTGCGAAAATCAACATCACAGATAAGTTAGTTCTCCAGTGACCTTGCAAATCTGTTAAACGGACGTCATTCCAAGATTACAAGAACTTCCTGAACATTAATAATGAATGCCAAAGAAATAACTTTATTTTGTTAGATTATTTTATTAAAATATTTTCATTTTATCAAGTTACGTTCAGAGATTCACAAAGAAACAGAAAAAAACAAGTTCTTTCAACAACATTTTCACATAATGAATTGTGTTTTGCGTCAATTTGCAATGAATATTTCTGTTAATAATTTTGCTAAGTTTACAATACAAAGTTAATTAATCAACAACTTTTTATAATTTTAGTTTTTGAAAAAAAAAATGTATATAATTGCTTATTTGTGCATTTTTTTTTTTGGTTTGGATACAGGAATCAATGTATGTTGTCTTTGTTAACAATTGAACAAAATATGTGTATTCATGATACATACTCTGGTACAATTTAAGATCAAGGTTGATGGATAACAATGAACGTATTATAATTGCTGTGCTCGTGACTATTGTGAAAAAAATATGTATAATTGGCAATTTAAAATAGAAGTTTCAGCTTCATAAAATCTACCTCGACTTTACACAAACAATACTTATCGAGTTCAAATGATAATGATGTCTTTTAAGAACTATTTTCGTTGCTAACGTTGATTACGTGTACAGAGATAAATTATAAGCAAATAATAAAGAAAAAACACAATTTTGTGTGAAAAATTATATTTGTGAGTATCACTATAAATACGTACAAACTGACCTCAGTTGTTGATAAAAACTTGAACTATGTCGATTTTCTTTTAAAATTAAAATGATTGTAATTATTATTAAATTAGAACTTTATCGTGTATTTTGTTACTTTTGGGTATAAATTATATAAAAATTATATTTTTGCATAATTGTACACCGATACCTCGCATAGTGCGGCTTAGATCAGTCATTTTGAGGAAAATTTCAGTCAAGTCTCTTATTTCTATTTCATTTAGTTCCTCAATTAGTCCGGTTTCAAACAGTCCAGGATATTAGCGGAAACTATTACCCGCACTATGCGAGGATTTTCTGTATTCCTATTTTGCAAAATTCGTAATATTTATATGATTCTAAAATGTAAACTCTTTGAGTATGAAAATTAGTAATTGAGCAACAACGATTGTAGAATTTAAATCAATTAGCGACGAGTTTGCATATCAATCTGAGCATATTTTCTATACTACGATAAATTTGCAAAATTTTAATCAAAATCGCGTTAGCCTCGAGTGTTTTCATTCGCGTTCCGGTGAATTATTTTTGGGATGAAATAACAATTTTTCGGAGTGTGTAATTTAAAAGTGCGGCGTGTTAATAAATTAAATTAATCTTGCTTGTCCCAACCAAAACGACGATCGATACAATTCACGTTCAAAACGTATACAAAAATATATAAATGGAAGAGTTGGTGTTAAATTTACAAACACGCACATTATATCGTCAGGTGAGAAAAAACCTTACATTTCTGTTTTATTGTAAACGAAAGGTTTTTTCAACTTGCTTTGAAAATCTGGAAATTTCGATTTTCTATTAATAAATGTACCAAAGTTATATCATTTAATTTCAATTTAAATACGCAACTTCCAGATTTTATTAGGTTTTTCATCAAGAAAAAACTTCTTCAGGTAGTTAAACGTTCTTGCAGTTAATGAAATTTTGCAACGACACGAATGTGTGGAAATCGAAAAGTGCATTCATTGTCTGGTGAATGCTGCGGGTGGACAAATTCAACAAATTTTGTGTGTTAAATTGTGCAAAACTCATATATCTGAACGGTTTATGTAATCAAGCTTCAAAAACGTTAGTCGATAGTTGTTTTTTCATATTTTTAATATAGTGTGGGTTATTCTTGATCAATGTCTTGATTTCATCATTATTACTAGAAGAATTTTAAGGCTGAAATCAACAGAGTTATTGCGTTAATGGCATTTTTTTGCCTTTCCAATAATAGAGAAGTATCAAAGTCTAATCCATCTTTACAAATCATTTGATCCAAACCGTACTTTATTGTAAACGAAAGGTTTTGTAAACTTGGTTTGAAAATCTAGAAATTTAGATATTCTATTAATAAGTGTGCCAAAGTTCTATCATTTCATTTCAATTTAAATACGCAACTTAAACATGACATACTTCCAGATTTTATTAAGTTTTTCGTCAAGAAAAAACTTCTTCAGGTAGTTAAACGTTCTTGCAGTTAATGGAATTTTGCAAAGACACGAATGTGTGGAAAGTGCATTCATTGTCTGGTGAATACTACGGGCGGACAAATTCAACAATTTTTGTCCGTTAAACTATGCAAAACTCATAAATCTTAACAGTTTAAGTAAGCAAGCTTCAAAAATGTTAGTCGACAGTTGTTTTTGATGTTGTTAATATAGTGTGGGTTATTCTTGATCAATGTCTTGATTTCATTATTATTACTACAAGAATTTTAAGGCTGAAATCAATAGAGTTATTGCGTTAATGGCATTTTTTTTGGCTTTCCAATAATAGAGAAGTATCAAAGTCTAATCCATCTTCACAAATCATTTGATCCAAACCGTACTTTATTGTAAACGAAAGGTTTTGTAAACTTGGTTTGAAAATCTAGAAATTTCGATTTTCTATTAATAAATGTGCCAAAGTTCTATCATTTCATTTCAATTTAAATACGCAACTTAAACATGACATACTTCCAGATTTTATTAGGTTTTTCATCAAGAAAAAACTTCTTCAGGTAGTTAAACGTTCTTGCAGTTAATGGAATTTTGCGAAGACACGAATGTGTGGAAATCGGAAAGTGCATTCATTGTCTGGTGAATACTAGGGGTGGACAAATTCAACAAATTTTGTCTGTTAAGTTGTGCAAAACTCATAAATCTTAACAGTTTAAGTAAGCAAGCTTCAAAAATGTTAGTCGATGGTTGTTTTTGATGTTGTTAATATAGTGTGGGTTATTCTTGATCAATGTCTTAATTTCATCATTATTACTAGAAGAACTTTAAGGCTGAAATCAACAGAGTTATTGCGTTAATAACATTTTTTTGGCTTCCCGGTAATAGAAAAGTATCAAAGTCTAAAATGCACTTTGTTTCCTTCCATCTTCACAAATCATTTGATCCAAACCGTACTTTATTGTAAATAATGTTGAAATCTCACCTTTTCTGATATATTTAGTCATTAGCGAAAATCGACATGAACTTTTGGGACAACTATTTTTGTAACTTTGTTGTATTTTTTTTTAGGATGTTGCATAACAAATACTTCTACAAGCACATTCACAAGCAACACCACGAATGGACAGCTCCTATCGCTGTCACGGCGATCTACTGCCATCCCCTGGAACACATCTTCTCGAACCTGCTGCCTCCTGCAATGGGTGTCCTGATGCTCGGCTCGCACGTCGCTACCGCTTGGCTCTGGTTCTCTCTGGCAATCCTCTCCACCCTGAACGCTCACTCGGGTTACCATCTGCCGTTCTTCCCGTCACCGGAAGCCCACGATTTCCATCACCTGAAGTAAAATCCACCAAAAAAAATATCAATTCCATTGCTTCAAATTAACTTATCAAATTGATTATTGCAGATTCAACAATTGCTTCGGAGTTCTCGGCGTGTTGGACAGACTTCACGGAACGGACACGAGCTTCAGATCGACGAGGGCTTACAACAGGCACATCATGATGCTGAGTTTCTTGCCGGCGCGCGAGATCTTCCCCGAGTCGGACGCGTGCAAACACAAGCTTGGTAAAACCACCTAACAATTTCCCGGGTCGCAGGATCAACCCGAAAACGGAATGAAAACACAAACTTGATGTTACGAAACCAGTTTACTTAGATTTAGCATCTAACATAAATTACATATTTATAAATGAACGCATATAAAATATATTTATGTGTGAATTTCAAGGATATACAAGAGGAATCAAACAAAAAAAAATAAGAGGAAACACACATTAAAGGGTCTTTATATAACGGAGAAAATTTTATATTAAATATATATAAATATATAAGATATGTATGATTAAATACATGTATTTACAATTCCTGATTGTGACCAGGACTAAGTATAATCCCGATCGATTGACTTTATTTTTTTACACGAAATCTCCGCACGAATGAAAATCATTTAGTTTTTTTTCGTTTTCATTTCTTTAAATTCTCCTGAGTCGATCAATGTTTAGTGATTATACCAATGTGATTTACGTGTGCGAAATGATGGATGAGACAACAACAAAAAAAAACATTTTTGGGATTTAAAGTTACCAAAAAGGCTGTATTTTTTAAATCTCTTAGATATATACACACACACACTATTCTCTTTCTGTCTCTATATATAAATATATATACATATAAATATATATACATACATAAATAAATGAACGATTTACATTGTAAAGTATCGACCGCTTGATTCTTACTAGACTTAAGTCACTTTTATCATTGTAATCGAATGAAATGTTTGTTTTTCGTCTTTACTTTTTTTCTTATTCTCTTCCACCTTTACTTTTCGTTCTGTACATAGGCGAGTTCGCACAGTGTAGGTTTCGTTGATTCTTTTTCGTCCCTCGTTTCCCCTCTCATAACGAGCACTTTGCAAGGAAACCTTAACGCAATAAGTATCAATAAAAAGTGGGTTACAAAGTTGAAAGCGGATTTTTATTTGTCGCTCTGCGAAACCTTTTCAATCTGATGTAAGACGTAATTAAATTGATTATTTATTAAAAGCATCAGATTTCTGCTGATTATTATGAAATAATTTCTATAACATATTGGTAATATGATCTTTAGTGAAATGCTTGTAACGATTAAGTTTATAGAAATAATTTGCTAAATTGGACCTAGAACCTAACCTTGTGGTACATCAAACGTAATTAGAAACTATAAAGCGATGTTTACTTTTTACATAAACTAGTATCTTCTATATTTATAATTGATTGTTAGAATAACTTTACAGACTTTTATCTTTCAACAATTCCAGTTTTTTCAAGTCAGTAAAGTTTCTTAAAATAAATTTAATGATAAACATATATCATTAAATTTATTTTAATCTAATAGATAACTTATTAATTCAACCTAAATTGATTTCAACTAGATTCTAACTGGAATATAAAAATTTGAAGTGAGAAGGGTTAGGATTTTAGAATAAAAAAATCAAGCGTGTTCTTTAAGTCTATATATTTTCGTTTCTTTTGTTTTATTTTCAATAAAAAATAGTTAACGACATCATTCAAAAAATATTATAATAAACTTTATTTCCAATATAAAAGCGTTCTTTCTTTCTTATTTTTTTTATCAAATATTTATCATAACAATATCACATCATCATCATCATTTTTATTGCAATGTTCAGCACCGAAGTAGCTTAATTTAAAACAAACCGTAATATGTATAAAAGTAAAGTATGTGTGCTAGCTGAGCTCTCATAAGAGATATATGTATATGTATGTAACCTAGTGCATGATTAATTATTATACATTCCATCGATCAAGAAGTCCATGCGGCTGTAGTGCCTGTGATACCACCACTCCTTGGTGCGTTTGTAGACTGCGTTCAGCAGGATTGCGACGAGTGGCACAGACAGGATCACAGCGACAATTGGCACAATGTAGTCAGGTCCACTTTTCTTGGTCGAGTCGTAAGACTTGACACTCTCCACTTTTGGCAATGTAGAGCTGTTCTTCCCCTTGCCAGCAACAAAGTTTGATGGGGCAAATGGCTCTTCATCGCTGGCAATTGTGAATAAAGGTTTCCTAATTCTTTCAGTTGTCGTTGTTGTGGTAGTAGTAGTAGTGGAAGTAGTTGTTGTTGTTGAAGTGGTTGTACTCGCTGTAGTTGTGCTACTTGCAGCTAGAGTAACATTAGCAGATTGTTTTGTAAGTGGTTTTGTTTCAGTAACATTCTTTTGCACCTCCGTTGTGAAATTAACCCCTTTCTTTGGAACAGTTTTCTTGTGGCTTGTAATGTTTGTTGGTGCATCAATCTTTTCACTCACCGGAATAACCTTTTCAGTGGTTGTGCTCACACTTGTTTTATTAGCAACAGTACTTGTCGCAGTAACCACATCAATGGTTTCTTTAACTGTCGAACTTGTATTGTTGATTGTTGTGGGAGCATTGGTGATTTGCTCCCTACCATACAACCTGTTCATCTCTGTGGTGGTCTTTTCCGTTGTGGATGTGATGGAAACCTTTCCACCCTCCAAAATCTGCACATCCGAAGGTGCAACAGTGGTTACATTCTTCACGTGAGGGATTTCGATTTTGGTTTCGTTTTTAGCAGCATTTTCACCATATGTTGATACCAGGAGAACCAGTAAAATGCACGGGCACAGCCTTAAGTCGAACATTTTTCTTTACTTGCCACAGAAACACCGCAGGAATTCACGAGCGCTCCAAAACAAAGCAGAAAAAAAAAACTATAAAAACTTAATCAACAATAAACAAAATTTAAAACAAAATCAAAAACAAAACTGCTAATCAAAGTTTGTCCATCATTTTTTCACGTTGCGTTGCGATCAGCTGACGATGTTTGCAACCAACGGAACTGTTACCGTTACTTTCACTTCCGTCGTTTCTTCAAACAGAAACTAAATCCAGTTTCACACTTTTAATTGTATTCGTTTCTTCGTGAGTAAAACACATTTAAATTACCATCAAGAAACCCAACAATTATTAAATCCAACATATTAATTAACTATTTAATTAATTAACATATTAAATCTTGTACTAAATTCAAATAAATCAACTAAATTAATTATTTTTAAAGAAATAGAAAGATATTCAATTCAAATAAAGGCTATACAACAATTTAATTATTTATATAAATTTGTAGGCAACCAAAGTTGCAACTTTGTATTTTTTTGAACATATATATGTCTATTTAAAAAATTTAAAACAATTTGGAGCGAATATTTGGCATGTATTTATTTTCTTTCAGGAGAAAATTGGAAGCTTTAGAAGTATTTTATTATCAAAGTATGCTATGGTATTTAATAACAACTTCAAAGTGAGATCTATGGGATTTCTATAAAATTTCAAATTTGTTAAGGATTTTTATTGAAGTTTCATAAATATATAATAAACTCTTACACAGTAGTAAAAATACAGAAGTAAATAGGATGTTTTTTATTATTTACATAAAACAAAATTTTGCTTTCAACCAGAACTTACAATCGTCTAGAAAATTACCATTGGATGAATGAAGAGAGAATAAAAAAGTTTCTATAAAGTATACTTTTAACATTTTACTTAAATCATAGATCCATAAAGTCCAATTATTATTAATAAATAGTAGTCTTTGTCAGACTTTCTTTTTCAGTAAAGTTTCTAAAATAAATATACGCAAAAAAAAAAATAATTCTAATTTACATGAAATTTCTATTAGATTTTCACAGAATTTCTAAGAGTTTTCTATAACATTTTTAAGATATTTCTGGTTGGGAGTTTTCTGGAAGATTTCTAAGAAATGTCTACAAAATTTCTATTAGAATTCGAAGAAATTTATAGAAGATTTTTAGATGATTTCTACAAAATTTCTATGAAACTTCAAATTTGTTAAGGATTTCTATTGAAGTTTCATAAATATATAATAAACTCTTACACAGTAGTAGAAATACAAAAGTAAATAGGATGTTTTCTATTATTTACAAAAAACAAAATTTTGCTTTCAACCAGAACTTACAATCGTCTAGAAAATTACCATTGGATGAATGAAGAGAGAAAAAAAAGTTTCTATAAAGTATACTTTTAACATTTTACTTAAATCATAGATCCATAATTTATTAAATTAATTATTTTTAAAGAAATAGAAAGATATTCAATTCAAATAAAGGCTGTACAACAATTTAATTATTTATATAAATTTGTAGGCAACCAAAGTTGCAACTTTGTATTTTTTTGAACATATATATGTCTATTTAAAAAATTTAAAACAATTTGGAGCGAATATTTGGCATGTATTTATTTTCTTTCAGGAGAAAATAGGAAGCTTTAGAAGTATGTTAATATCAAAGTATGCTATGGTTTTTAATAAAATGACTTAAGAGATTTGTTGTTTAAGAGCTTAAAGTAACTTTATTGTTAAATGTACATATTGGAGGTAGAATATTCTTTGTTGTTCTGTTATTCTCCGAAGATCACGTTCACGAAATCGCGTTGCTCGTTGCTTGATTGTCCGTGTAGATTGGTGTGCTGGTGTAATTCCAGCAGAAGAAGGCATTAGAATCACCGCGTTTCGCGCATTCGAATTCCATCAGGATGTTGCCCATGGTTATAATACTCAGCGAGAAACAGATGAGAGCGCAGAAACAGAAGACTTCGTTCGAGGAACCATTCTCTAGCCAATTGTTGAATATCCTTTTGGCCGCTCTACCCAATTTCCTGCCCTTATACAGTAACTTATCTCTGAAAAAAAAAAATGAAAAGTTACAAAATAGATCATTCATAAGAACTACAAAATTGTTTGATGTTATTACACTTACTTAAATAGAAATGTGTGAAGGTCTGGTTCTGATGCTGTACTAACTTTACGACTAGTTGCTTTCGAATCGCCGGATTCGTCATTGCTTTGGTATGAATTCGTTTCTACATCCTCTATTTCGTCGTCGTTCTCTTCGTCGACAACGCTTGGCATTATTATGGTTTCCACTGTTCCTTCGCGGATTTTAACGAGATCTAAACCTAATCTGCAAGGTACAAGACTTGAATTAGTATTTTCAATTGAGATATCCAAATACTAATTAAAGTAATGTGGATTAATTGTTGATCAAAGTTGTTTTGTGTTAAATTGAATGTAAATTACTCTAATCGCGAAGGTCTGGCAGTTCTGTTGAGTATGCTTCCTCTGAGGGAGAGCTCTGACGTCCTGCGGATCATCCTCCTACTATCACTAAGGACCACTTTGTTCGAGTTCTCTTGATGTGGCTGAGAAATGGTGGCTATGCTCGCTCTCCTCCTCGTTATAACGCGTCCATTCAACTGCGGCGTCTTCAGCTTCGGACTGGACGACTCTGCCGAGTTGGTGTCTTGGAGCACCCTCCTGAAGAGCGTAAATAGTTTAGAAATTTAAGCGCAAAACGCAAAGCTCACAGTTAACGAACTTCGTGTACTGCAGCTGCCTCCTCGCCGAGTCCCTCTGCCGTTTAAGTACGTTCACGTGTTTGATCATTAATTGGACGGACTCGGCCAACCTTTCCTCGTGCTGCACCGCTCCGAAACGTTCCGCAGAGATTGCAGCGTGCGACGAAGCTCTGACGATGATGTCCACCTGTGCGAGGAGTGCGGCGAGAAGCTCCGTCGTCTCAGCGTCGATGCAGAGTGGATAGAGTCGATTCGCCCGTTCGATGAGTCTCTCGATCTCGACGTTCAAATTCGTCTCGGTTTGATCGCGATACCTCCTCTGCCTGTTGCATCTGTCTTTGATCGTGTCCGCGTCGATGGTGAAGGCCAACGAAAGCGATATAAACTTCTGCTCCAGTTCTTCATCGGTCAATCGTTCCCTGCCAATCATAAATCAATAATGTAAACATCGTTAAGACACCCACAAGACTAAATACTTCCTCCATTAGACAATATTTATGTGTAAACTATCACTCTCTCTCTCTCTCTCTCACACTTTAGCTTTTTACATTCCATTGATTTAGACTGATCTATTTAGATTCTGATCTATTTTTAATACGCTATGTTTTTTTTTTCATTTTTACCTTGGGCTATCTCCGAGTAATCCAAGCTTTTCCAACACCGAATCAGGAAGGTGTGGAAATACTTCGTACGGCTCCTCCTGCTCGTTGCCTGGTGTTATTGGAGCTCCATCCGACTTTGAACGACATCTACGCACGTCAGGCTCGTCCTGCAACAATCACAATTTCTATAATGTATACTTTTAACATTTTACTTAAATCATAGATCCATAAAGTCCAATTATTATTAATAAATATGTAGTCTTTGCCAGACTTTCTTTTTCAGTAAAGTTTCTGAAATAAATATATGCAAAAAAAAATTATAAAATTTCTAATTTATATGAAATTTCTAGAAGATTTCTAAGAAATGTCTATAAAATTTCTAAGGAATTTCTATTAGAATTCGAAGGAATTTCTAGGAGAATTTTAGAAGAATTCTACAAAATTTCTATGAAACTTCAAATTTATTAATGATTTCTATTGAAGTTTCATAAATATATAATAAACTCTTACACAGTAGTAGAAATACATATGAACGAAGAGAGAAAAAAAAAGTTTCTATAAAGTATACTTTTAACATTTTACTTAAATCATAGATCCATAAAGTCCAATTATTATTAATAAATATGTAGTCTTTGCCAGACTTTCTTTTTCAGTAAAGTTTCTGAAATAAATATACGCAAAAAAAAATTATAAAATTTCTATTACATTTCCACAGAATTTCTAAGAGTTTTCTATAACATTTCTAATATATTTCTAATTGGGAGTTTTCTTGGAAGAAATTTCTAGGAGATTTTTAGAAGATTTCTACAAAATTTCTATGAAACTTCAAATTTGTTAAGGATTTCTATTGAAGTTTCATAAATATATAATAAACGCTTACACAGTACTAAAAATACAGAAGTAAATAGGATGTTTTCTATTAATTACATAAAACAAAATTTTGCTTTCAACTAGAACTTACAATGGTCTAGAAAATTACCATTGGATGAATGAAGAGAGAAAAAAAAGTTTCTATAAAGTATACTTTTAACATTTTACTTAAATCATAGATCCATAAAGTCCAATTATTATTAATAAATATGTAGTCTTTGTCAGACTTTCTTTTTCGGTAAAATTTCTGAAATAAATATACGCAAAAAGAAAATTATAAAATTTCTAATTTATATGAAATTTCTATTAGATTTCCACAGAATTTCTAAGAGTTTTCTATAACATTTTTAAGATATTTCTAATTGGGAGTTTCTAGAAGATTTCTAAGAAATGTCTATAAAATTTCTATTAGAATTCGAAGGAATTTCTAGGAGATTTTTAGAAGATTTCTACAAAATTTCTAAGAAACATTAAATTTGTTAAGGATTTCTATTGAAAATTCACAGAATTTCTAAGAGTTTTCTATAACATTTCTAACAAATGTCTATAAAATTTCTATTAGAATTCGAAGAAATTTCTAGGAAATTTTTAGAAGATTTCTACAAAATTTCTATGAAACATTAAATTTGTTAAGGATTTCTATTGAAAATTCACAGAATTTCTAAGAGTTTTCTATAACATTTCTAAGATATTTCTAATTGGGAGTTTTCTAGAAGATTTCTAAGAAATGTCTATAAAATTTCTATTAGAATTCGAAGAAATTTCTAGGAGATTTTTAGAAGATTTCTACAAAATTTCTATGAAACTTAAAATTTGTTAAGGATTTCTATTGAAGTTTCATAAATATATAATAAACTCTTACACAGTAGTAAAAATACAGAAGTAAATAGGATGTTTTCTATTATTTACATAAAACAAAATTTTGCTTTCAACCTGAACTTACAATCGTCTAGAAAATTACCATTGGATGAATGAAGAGAGAAAAAAATGTTTCTATAAAGTATACTTTTAACATTTTACTTAAATCATAGATCCGTAAAGTCCAATTATTATTAATAAATATGTAGTCTTTGCCAGACTTTCTTTTTCAGTAAAGTTTCTGAAATAAAAATACGCAAAAAAAATTTATGAAATTTCTAATTTATATGAAATTTCTATTAGATTTCCACAGAATTTCTAAGAGTTTTCTATAAAATTTCTAAGATATTTCTAATTGGGAGATTTATAAGAAATGTCTATAAAATTTCTAAGGAATTTCTATTAGAATTCGAAGGAATTTCTAGGAGATTTTTACAAAATTTCTATGAAACTTCAAGGATTTCTAATGAAGTTTCATAAATATATAATAAACTCTTACACAGTAATAGAAATACAGAAGTAAATAGGATGTTTTCTATTATTTACAAAAAACAAAATTTTGCTTTCAACCAGAACTTACAATCGTCTAGAAAATTACCATAGGATGAATGAAGAGAGAAAAAAAAAAAGTAAAAGCATTTCAATTTGTATAGATTATTTAAAACATTCTCATATTCAAATTGTAAACAATTTCCACAGAAAACCGAACAATCATATAGAAAAAATGTGTCGAGATGGGATTTAAATAATTTTACATCAGCATAATACAAATTGTACAAAGAGCGCGAAGTTCAAGGCCGTGTCAAGCGTAACGCAATCGTTAGGTCTCAGAGAAGAAAACATAAAAAAAAAAGTGCGCGGAATGCGGAAAGTCTAAAATTAAGCACGTCTTTCTGGAAGAATGAAGACGGAGGTGGAGAGATGAAAGAAAGAATGAAAAAAAAATGGGTTACGCAAAACCAGCGCACATTTAAAATATGTGTTTATTTTATTATGTCCTACATGTTAATAATTTGTTTATAGAATTTCCTCGGCGCGGTTTATCTCTCGAATAAATTTTCGCTTTCCTTGATAGCCGCATGCATTCGCGATTAGCGGACGTAAATCTCCAGAAAGTGACTTCAATGTTTCCACGATGAGAAAAGAAGATAAATAATTAAAAAAAAAAAATGAACTTGAAAACTATATTTATGCGAACTTTGTTTCTGTTCGCGATTTCGTTTCTAATCGCTGCGAAAGAAGCGTCTTTCCAATTAAGCGATTAGCAATTAACGTCTCGCTCACAATTTGTCGTAATTTACGCTCATTTGTATACTTGGACTGGTATTCTCGTATTCGATTGAACCAATCTGGTGACGATTCGAGAAACAAAAGTTGTTTGGATCGAATGGTATAGCCAATTGTTCGGTCGATTTGATTGCGATGCGTTCGTTTTCGTTTCGATTAATTTAAAATGATTTAAATGTTAAATTAATCCATCCTTCGGGTTCGGACCGCTTCTTTCCATCGGCGTGCGGTTTCGGCCGGTTCCTGTTGGGTCAATCATATCAAAGCCAAAAGAAACAATAAACTCATCGACTAAGCAAATATTGGATTCAATTTATAAAAAAAAAAATAATAATGCTGACGAATAATTCGTCCACGCTTCGTTGAAACTATGTAGGTCATATGTATGTTGCGATTTATATAATATACCAATTAGTGTGTGTTTTTTTTTTTATTAGTTTGTGTGAATTTCAGTTGCTTACTTTATCGGGAGGATTTATTGCAAAGCGACGAGAAACACATGATTTTCAACTGTGTCAATGTCGTCATAGTCTTGTGCACAGCCACCTTTCGTAAGGATGATACATGAAACTGGATACAAGCGTTTGCTGCTCGTTCGACTACAAGAAATTCGCTCTACTGACTAAAGAAACCTGATATAACATTTTTCTTAACGTATTCTTTTTTCACTTAATCTACACTTCCATTGAAACCGAATACAGGTATCTCCTAACTTACGAACTCCTGGACTTACGAACACAAATCTAAAAGCTCTAACTTGTTACAAGAAGATATATAATGATACAAAATTAACTGTCCAAACAAAAAATGAAAATTTCTTTAATAAAATATAATATCTGTTCTGTTGCATTTGTTTCTTTCGTCGTTTGTTATAAATAATTGTGACGTCTAGATTAAAATGTAAATTTGTAAGTCAGTATTTTGTTTGTTTTAATCTATTTTTATCAAATGTATGCAGTCAGTAATACGGAATTTAAAGTGAAAACCATGATAAAGTGTGGTAAGATAAGTATATTTTGAATTTTTTAAAATTTCCCCGACTTACGAACAACGCTTTGGAACGGAACTCGTTCATAAGTCGGGGGACACCTGAAGTTATTTTTCCAGTTTTAGCATGACTTAATCTATTTATTTCTACATATATTGCATATTTAAGACAACATTGTTTCTTTTTTCACTTTACTCACAACAATTTTATATTTCATATCTCAAAATATACATCAGTTTTTTTTTACTAATAAAGCCGAATCAAATGTACTTTTCTCAATTTTACTCATAATAATGCAGAATTGATTTGTTACAATTTACATCTTTATAGGAATTCATCACTAATTTAACAATCATCAAAATTTTTGAAATATCAAAAAAAGTTTAAACATCAACATAACTTCACAATCGAAAAACTTACATATTTATTGAAAAATCACTCATAATTATCCATATTTGAAAATATTTCAGAAAAATTTTCAATTGCAAACTATAATCACTCATGCACTTAATATC